AACCAATTCTGATTCTCCGATTCGGGTACTGTACCAGTGTGTGATATATTCATTTTGTATTCTTGGTTCTGCTTTTGAACTTTACTTGCAAGAGCTTCAGCAAGGGCATAATCATTGAGCTGCTGCCAGAGTAGGCTTTCTATAAGACATTGGTGCTCGTAGAGGTCAGGTGGAATAACGCCATGTTCTGTGAAGTTGTATAGAAGATCCCTGTAACCATACTCATTTGATGTTCCATATAACAGACGTTGCATTTCCTCCAGGTATTGTTGGGTTGGGGGAATTACAGGATCTTTACAATTCTGAGAATTCTGGGTTACCTTGCTGTTGTCCACAACAGTGGATGTTGCTGACAAGGAAGGCTCCCCTTGATTCCTTTGGGAATTCAGCCCAATATCTGTGCTTGGTTGACCAACGTTTGTTTTGAAACTGCTAAATGGCAAAACAGAAAATTGACTCCTTTTGCTGGTTTCAGGTTCATCCTTCCCGTGTTGAGAGGTTGATGGCTGTTGTACTCTTGATGTAGGTACATTAGTGACACCGTGACCATTTTGTGCTTGACTTTTTGAGTCTTTATTGGTGGCTAAATCTTTAGAGGGCTGCGCCTCCAGTGGTTTGATTCTGTAAATGTCTGGTCGTCCTTGGCTTGGATGTGGCTGTTGTTTTACTTCAGGATTTACTTGATTAGTAGATAAGGAAGATTGATCCATGTTACCTGTAACTTTGTTAAACAGATCAGAGAAGACTCCTCTTGATTCAGATTGGCTTAGACTTGCCTGACTGGAAGTCTGGTCTGTCTGAGCAGGTTTGGGTGACTGTTGTTCCTGTTGCTGATTTTCATTAGATGTTAACTTGAAAATGCCCGAAAGCAAGCCTACGCCTTGACTCGGATGTTGAGCACTTGTTGTTTTGCTAGGCTGTTGTTGTTGAGTTGAAGTTTGATTAAACAGACCAGACAAAAGCCCTCCTTGCTGCTTCTGTTGAGATGACTCCTGAGCAGTAGATTGAGCAGGTCCAGATGTGTGGACCTGTTGGGACACAGACTTTTCTGCGTTTTGTTGAGTTGTATTATCACTAGATTGTAATTTATTAAATATTCCTGACAACAGCCCAACCTGCTGTGGCTCTGCAGAAGAGGCAGCAGTTTGTGATGGTATCTGGTTTTGCCTCCGTAGAGGCTGTCGGATACCTTGTTGGTGCTGTTGCTGGTTGGATTGACTCACACGAGGCGGCTGTTGTGATGGAGGTGAAGAATCTGATGAAAACAGCCCAGAGAGAAAACCTCCCTGATTTGGCTGCTGAGTTACCTTTGCATCTGAATTTTGTGCTTGTCTATTGTCAGACCGACGAGGCGAAGACTGCATGGTGTTGGTCTCAGTAATTTTGTTAAATAATCCAGCTAGCATTCCGCTTGGAGTAGAAGCAGGCTGTTGTAGCGGAGGACCCTGTTTTTGCTGCTGAAGATTCTGTCTGCTACCGACTTGCCTATAAGTTTGCTGCCCAGATGCGTTGCTTTGTTGTGGATTTGGTGAGGACTGGGCTAGATTTGCAGAGGAAGTGTCATTTCCAAACAGACCAGAGAAAAAAACGGTGCTCGGTGCTGATGTTTGGTTAGAGTCTTTGGTTCCAATGTCTGACAGAGTTGAAGTAGGATTAACTTCCACAATTTTACTAAAAAGTCCAGATAAAACATTACCCGACTGCTGGTTCGGTTGGGAACCATGTGTAGCAACAGGAGGCTGTGGGAGATTTTCGGAAAATTTTAACAAACCTCCAAAGAGTCCACTAGGCTGCGATGTTGGTGCAGCTCCTTCAGGTGTTACTGTTCCTGTTTTACCAACAGGTTGATTTGGCGACTGATCTGAGGTTTTAGCTTGTTGTTGTTGCTGATGAGGTTGACCTTTACTGGTGTGAGAAACCTCTGTCATACCAAGTTTCAACAATCCTGACAGAATTCCTGATGACGGAGTTGGTGGAAGGCTGTCTTTAATTTCAGCAGTTTCTGGTTGAGTGTCTTTAATTGAGTGAGTTTGCCGAGTCTCTGTTGCTAGGTCTGTTTTTGAGAGATCAGATGAGACTTGTCCAGTTGATGGCTGAACGGCAGCTGATTGTGTTTGCTTTAGAGTTGGAATTTGATTAAATTTACTCCCTGTGAATGTTGATGCTGAAGGAGCAGAAACTGTGTCAGAGGCTAATTTTAAAAAGCCAGATAACAATCCCCCAGACTGCTCCTGTGTTTTGGTAGTAGGCTGTGAGGGTGAAAACAGACCTGAGAATAACCCACCCTGTTGAGGCTGCTTATCACCTACCTGGCCTTTATTGGCAAGTGACATATTTTCTAATGGGTCTGGATTTGACTGCATAGAAAGACTTCCATCAGCTTTTTGCTGTGATTCATTTTCCTCCACAGACTTAGACACAACACTGGCTACAGGTTGGACCTGCGTTGTGCACTGGAAATTTTCCTTGTTGTCTGTGCTCCCAGAGGTTTCTGGTAAATTTTGTTCATTTTCCACTATAGTCTGACTACGTTTAGTTGATGGTGTTGAAGGTTCCTTGGAAGGCTCACTTGGAACAACCTTAAAAAGGTTTGAGAACCATCCAGTTTCTGTGTTTCCTTTAGGAACACTCTCTAAAAGTGCAGCACGGCTTGGTGAGGGAGTTCTTGCAGAACTAGGTGAGAATTTTGGTGGGGCATTGCTGTCGTCACCAGATGCAAACTTAAGGATTCCTGAAAGAACCCCTCCTTCTGTTTTTGGTTGAGTGCTGGTAGATATATTTTCTGTGGTGAAAAATGGAATTTTTAGTTTGCTGCCTAAAAATGACTCCTCCACAGGTTTTGGCTCAGTTTGTGGGGGACTTTCAGGAGGAGCAGTTGATATGAGGTTAGACAGAGATTTCTTAAAAGGACTGAAGAATCCTGTTTCTTCCGAGGTGCTATCAGGTTTTGATTCAGATGATGCAGTTCTTCTTTGCTGAATATCAGGTAGCTCACCTGATGACTCTGTTTCTGGCAGAAGCTCTATAGAACCACTTCCAATAGATCCACTTCCAGTGTCTGGTAGTAGGTCAACTGATCCACTTTCTGAACCTAGCCTAATGTCACCCATTAACTGTTGCTCTGTTTGCGTGACATTTGGACTTGTTCTGTTTGCAGCCTCCTGTTGAGATTCAGCACTTGCAGCAGAACCACTTCTTTGTTCTGATGGTTGAGGAGATGGTTCTCTAGATGATGGTGCACTAGAGAAAATTCTTAAAGGACTAAGCCTCCCTAACATGGATTCAAAACCAGAAGTTGGCTGGTTTGAAGTGGTAGCACTGTTCTGTCCATCTCCATCTGTTCCAGTGGAGGCTGACGTTGGAGCAGTTTCTGCTCGATTACTGGTTTCAGAGGATGGAAATGGCAGGAAAGACTGAAGAGAAAACTTCTTTTCTGTTGTATTTTCCTGAGATGCAGGGGGGACTATGGCCACTGGGGGAGTAGTGCCACCACTTTTGGGGATGAATGAGAGCAACTTTGAAATGCTGGACTCAGGCTGGGATGATGCTTGGAAATCTTTTGGTGGATCTCTTGAAGGGGTGCTAGAGGATTCAGTATTTACTTTAGGCATAAAAGAGAGTAATTTTGACATACCAATACCAAAATCTGTCTGAGGTGGTTCTGGTGATGGGTTAAGGCAAGATGGGTCCTCATCAGGGGCAGATTTTGATCCTTTCATTGAATTAAATAATGAACTCATTGCATTTTTCACTCCTGCTATGCCCTGTTCATCAACACCTCCTTCTCTGACCTTAGTTTTGATTTCAGTGATGTTTTTGTCTTCAGACTGCACATGTTTTACATCTGTCGGTAATGGTGGGAGTTTCCTTCTAGTTGTTTTAGAAATTGAGTCATATTTATTGATATCTTCCTCTTTTTCAGTCAGGTATTCAGACACTGAGTGAACTAAACTCTGTAGGCGTTCCAATGGATCTTGTGGCTCTTCTTCAGCAGAAAACATTCGATCAACTTTATGGCCTGTTCGTCCACTGCATGAATACCCTTGTCCTTGTTGGTAGTGATGTTCATATTCATAAACAGCGTCATCCTCAGCGAAGGTCAGATCATCAAGTTCTTCTTCCTCAGAGCCAAAGGAATACTGCATCTCATCGGAACCAACTGAGCCATAATTATTTCTCTCCCTGAGCCATGCGGCCTTTTCTCGAGCTGCCTCCTCCTCGCAAAAAGCTGCATAGCTTTCTTCCAAGGCGTTTCTGGCCCAAAGTCTGGTCTTGTAAAGTAAACTTTCTCTGTCCGATTGCTGTTGTAGCTGTTTGACAGATGGAATGATATCAATTTCAGGCGGGGACAATTCATCCTCAAAACTGCCGGCTTCCTTATAAACCAAACGTACGTCTCCACTCCCAAGCCGATGTTTCTCCTGTTGTCTATTCGGCTTATCTGTATCCTCAGAAGAGTGCGTGTCACATTCCACTCTCTGATAGAAGCAGCTGCCTTTGGACTCACACTGGGTGTCGCTGATTCGATAGATGATGCTTTTATCTTCATCCTCCCACATTTTCTGCTGTGTGTCCAAGTAATCATCCAAGACACCCAAATCTGCCACTTTATATTTGCTCTCCCAATCCTCTACACCCATGCCTGAGTCAACAGGAATTATTCTTACTTTACTCTTTCTCCTTGTGTGCCAAACATAAAATAAAATGTAAGTGTGCCATGCAGAGAGAGGTGCGAGAAAAATGTTGAAAGAAAAACAAAAAGAAAAATCAATTGTTAGACATGAATCGAAAGTGACAGATCATGCAAACAAATGTTTGAGAAAATGCAACAGAAAAGCAAAGAAAACAAATCAAATAGAACAAAAATATTCACAAAAACTGTTATTAGATGAGAGCAAATAACTGATACAATCACCAAATTGTTGTTACTGACAAACACCTCCAGTTATATTCAACAATAGACACTGATTATGTGAGACAGTTGTTGGGTGTGTCTTTACCTGGGCTCCTTAATTCCACTACAGTCCAGCTCATAGCTTTCTATGGGTTCAGACTCCCTGGACAGGGGTTGATGTTGGACCCTGTCTGCTATGGGATACTGGTGCACAGAAGAATTTGTCTGAGGGCTGTTGTAGAACCGTGCAGGCCTGTGGCTGGCCTCACTGCGGTAGTCGCTATCACGGTCATCCATTGCACTGTCGTGGTCGTTGAAATCTGGATAAAAAAATGTTTAGAAAAACACAATGACATCAATGTGTCATTGTTTATACATACAGAGTTGTACTTGATTTAACTAAACCCTGTAGGAGCACAGTCCTCTGTAGGACCACGTCAGATGATCCACTGTCTGCTCTTCAGGACATCAGTATATTGTTCGTGGTATTTAACTCAGCTTCAGTATCCTGCTGTTCTACATATGTCACTGCAGCCACATGTCAAACCAAATTCCAAATTAGAAAACACATTCAAGTATAAAGCTCCCTCTTGTGGTCGCATGTGTTCAATACAAAAAAATTAAAACGAGAAAATATAACATTTAAATTTAAATTAAAATGCTACATAAAACATGCCAACAAGACCGTAACCTCAATGTTGCTAATATCATACCATATGATTACTCCACTCAAAATTATAATAAATCAATAATTATTTATAATAAGGGAACAAAATAAAAATCATACATACTCTGTTGGTCACTCCATCCAAAATAACCCCAACTACCTGTTGGCATGAATAAGAAAAGTTTAAAATGGTCATGACAATGTTAACACTAAAAACCATCCAGCCTTTTCCTGGGAAAACAGTAGGGTTTGTACAGTAGATGAAGGACCATGTCACACTAGATTGAACTGGTAACATCTTGGACTGTGAGTCAAATTCTAATAATAAATAGAATTGTGTTTAAATGAATCTAAATCAGACTAAAGTCAGAGGTTAGGGGCGTAGTAGAAGTTGATTTTAAACTTGAACTTCAACTTAATATAAGTTGTGGGTTTGATGACACTTACAGCACTGTGAAGGTACTGAAGGCATTCCTCTTCTGTGAGCATCATCCTCCGCCAGATACTTCATCAAGAACAATGGAAAAACAAATAAAAAGGTAACATATCAAATTTAACCAAAATGTATATGTAATATGGTAAATGAATGGAATATAAAGTTTATCATCTGTGTAGTACCACCGAGTGTTTGCCACAAGATAGCAGCACAGGGTAAACTGAAATGTATAACAATAAACGAACAGCGGTCACAACAACATCGGTCACCTATGAGGTTAGATACTCATATAAACTACATGGTAAAGAAACAGTACACGAAAAATACAAAAGAGCTGTACTTCAACAACTGATATTCAATGAAAGTTTAACCGGAAACGTTTTTTTTCCCAGAAAACCTACGTTGTCATGTATCCGCATGGAATTGATCTGTTCCAGTTTACTGATCCAGTACTGAGCTTCGTCTTCAGGGATATCTGGGAAATGAAATTATTGGGACAAGAAAGATTAACTGGGATGTAAGAAACAGTCGAGATTTACATAGACACAGATACGTGTTCATTCTGTAGATATAAATACACGTGTATATTCATATAAACACATATGCATAAGTATATTCATATAAACACAAAAAGTATTCAGATAAGAATAGTTTTTAGTGACTGCGCGCTGATTTGCTTGCATACCAAACGGTAACTCAAATCGAGTGTCCAGCAGCACTTGATGTGGAGTTGGGTTTGAGGTACCAAGGATCTTCTCTTCCCTCATTAACACTTCAGAGTCCAGGGACAGCCACTCTCCTGGTCCTTCCTTTGGGATGGACACGGAAAAAAAAACACTTTAGAAAAGTGTTTACATACAGGGAACACACTAATTGAGGGCCTGACTGTGCTGAAGAGGAAGGACTGGCATTTAATGAACCCTGAGAAAAGATAAACAGATGAAGGTGTCAGGAGAAGCCTCAACGGTTCATTAAGGAAACAAGTGAAGAAGTCAAACACAAAAAACGTTATTAATTAATACTGACAACACAGGTTTTGCATCACATTCAGACGTTTCAAACCAGAAAAGAAGTAATGAGCTCTCTTAAGTCTAGAAGAGGGAAAAAAATAAAACACGGATGAAAGATGAAACTACCTCTTTATACATGGGCTGACAGGCAAAGACTGGAGTATTTTAATTAGCAGTAGTAGTTGGCAAGTAAAAATATCTCAATATAACTTTTGTCAACAGAAGCTGAAGCAGGGAAGTCCTTAATTAATTATCAACCAATCACAAACACAGAATACGTGATGTCAAAGATCAATAGAACTGTGTTACATTTAAGTGTAAAAAATGAGTGTGGAAATATATATCTATATATATCTGCTAGAAATACATATACTGGAAATTTTACATTCCATTTGTAAAAAATAATAATATAAACACATAAAATGTATATGGTCAGGTATATATTGTTTTTATATTTCAAATGTATTAGCCTGTATTATATGTACACATTCTTACATACACACACATTTATATACAGATACACATGAAACTATACACATACATGTACATATATATTGTTCGTGGTATTTAACGTGGTACAACGAATGATGGCAAGCCCTGAATTAGTTTGCTTCACCTGGGTTTTGACAATATCGGTGAGATGGGCGCGCATGGAGTCTCAGATCAATAGGGATGGAGATTGTGGAAAAGGGAAGTGACCTAAGTTTGACACTTGAGGACGCTGTTGTTCGCACCTCCAGTGTCAGGCGGTTGTCACTGTTTTTGTTCTGGATGGTCACTTTATTGTTGTTTTGACGCTGTTCCGTGCGGAAGTGCGGATGTTGTTTTGCAGAGAGAGTGTGTGTGTGTTTTTTCCTGTATCGATAAAAAAGGAGAAATAAAAAAAGTTTTTGACCACGAAAAAATCGACAGCCATGCGTCTGAGTCGCCCTGCATGGCACCATACATCGACAATTTAAAAACACAACTCCGGGTGTTGGGAGGAACGACGCGAAGTTGCACGGATTTGGGTTACACAACTATACTGCAACAATTCTTGTTGAGCATCTTCTAATTGTTAATTAAAAGAGTTAAACGTCGTTGTTGGATCCAGTGTGCTTCAGTGTGATGTGCTGTGTTGTTTGGCTTTATAAAATAAAGCGCACTGTCAATTTTTGAGAAAAATACAGGTTTTTACAAGTGCGTCTTATAGTGCGGAAAATACGGTACACAAATATTTTATACATACACACATACATACTTTACAGATATACACAAACATACATCTATATATAACTTTGCAAATACGTACAGTACAGTATCTACACACACATATATATTTGTCTTCAGTAATCTAATTAAAGCCTAATCACAATTTCTCTTACTTGTCAAAGATAACTAAAATCTTTCATCTATGTGTATATGGATAGCGATATGAGATAGAGATATGTCTTTTGTTTAGTTGATGAGTTTGTGGTTTATCTATTGGTAAGTAGATTTACCTGCTGAGACTGACGAATGGTATCCAGAGCAATCAGTGCTGTGCCGATCATTGTGTCCCAGATCAAACCTTTATTCCACAGCTCCACCATCAGGCCTGACTCCAGTTTATTGATCTCACTATAGAAACACAAACAATAGATCAACTGCATTACACATCAACAGAAGTTAAGATACTACTGCTGTCAATGGTAGGAAAAAGCCATAATTACTGCTAAATAGCTTTTTATTTATTTGAATTTGTCAATCGGGTTTCCCAGATAGGGCGTATGATATTTGTCTGGAACAGCATGTATAGTATAATAAACAAAGTATTAATACTGTATATCAGTTGTTCTCAAACTTGTTATATTCTGTACCACCTGAGAAAACACTGAGTACCACCATGATGATCAACATCCAAATTCTCCCGCACGCTCCACGTTCTACTTGCAAGTGATCCCATGATTCTGTGCTGCCAGTGCTTACGTGAACAACAGACTTGCATTGCAGCAAAAAAACAAGTAAATAAATAAAAAGACCACCCGTCATATTTCATAATCTCACAAGGATCTAAACATTTATTCTAAATGTTGTATTAATTGTACATGGTATTTCAGATTTATTGAATTGAAAATGTAAATGTGAAAATGTGAATTATCCAGGCGTACCACCAGTGGTACATGTACCACAGTTTGAAAACCACTTCTGTATATAATGTGCAATATTTCAAAGAAAGCAAACAAAGGGCTGGGTTAAATTTTTTTTAACCATTGTCTCTAAAATTTAATCTAAAAAATACCTACTTCTGTTATACTATTTTCCTCAGGTTCTTTTTTTCCCAATAAACTGCTAATGTCATATTTATTAGGCTTTTTAGAGCAAAAGTAATAAATGCAAAATTCATGAAAGTCATTTACTTATTTTGTACAACACTGTAGGTCTATATACACTGTATTACCAAAAGTATTGGCTCACCTGCCTTGACTCATACTATGAACTGAAGTGCCATCCCATTCCTAACCCAGAGTTCAATATGATGTCGGTCCACCTTTTGCAGCTATTACAGCTTCAACTCTTCTGGGAAGACTGTCCACAAGGTTGAGGAGAGTGTTTATAGGAATTTTTGACCATTCTTCCAAAAGC